TTGTGGAAACATTTTTCTGGTGAATTTTCATTATCTATAGTAAAGCAATAATTGATAATTTTCATTTATTTCATTATAACTATTTTGTTTGTAGGCAGAACACTTTCCTTTTCTACTTACTCATATTTGAATGAGATAGATTTTCTTGATCTAGAGGCAGTAGGTTATGGGGTGGAACATAGGTCAGAGTTTCCAGACTTCAAAACTGAAGGATTATCTCCTTTATTAATATAGAAGAAGACTTAAATATGGTTCTTCTGTATGCCAATGTCTGCTCTGCCTCTCCAAATCTAGCCTACTTCAAAAGAACTTCTATTGCCAGTCTTGGGCTTCCAAGATTGTTTCACATTTCTTTATTTTTAAGGTTATGCATTAATTTGTAGAAAGTTATTTTGCTGGCACCTTTTGTGTGTTGTTCACAGTTTCTTTGTTCTCCTCAATTTTCTGTGCTGAGTCGTTTTTCTTTACGTATTTTTTTTCATCTTTTTCTTTGTTGTAGATTTTGTGTTTGCTGGGTCTTTATGTTTTTCTACTTTTTTATTTTGATTTGTAGGATTGTTAAATTCCTTTGTGGTTACCTTAATATTTACCCCTAATTTTCTAAGTTTATACCAGTCTTTTATTACTTTATATTGCCCTAACTTCCCCTCCATATAGAAAATCAATATCTCCATTTTTTAAGTCTCCCTTTTTTTGTTTTAGTATTATCCTCTTTTTCTTTTTTTTTTTTTTTTACATATTGATATCTGTTTCCCTATTTTCAATGTTTTGGCTTTGATGTAATTTCGATTTCCATATCTGAGTCAATAGCTGGTTGCTATATCCTGTGTTCTAGTCTTGCATTGTTAGCTGACGTTATTGATTAGCTAACCGTAGGACTCCCTTTAGTATTTCTTGTAATTTTGGTCTGGTTTTTGCAAATTCCCTGTTTATCTGGAAATGCCCTAATTTCACCATCATATCTGAGAGACAGTTTTGCTGGATATATAACTCTTGGCTGACAGTTATTTTCCTTCAAGGCTTTAAATA